GTTTCCCCTGAAGGATCTTCCGTCGCTTTTGCCTTCTCCCTACATCTCCACTCAGGTGTCCGGCTGGGGCTGTTGGGAGTTGCTGCCGCCAGTGCGGCTCCGGTCCCGCGTTGCCTTGGGAAGGGTGGGGCAAAACCAGGAGCCGCTGAGCCTGAGCCTCCGGTGCCGCTGCTGCTGTTGCAAAGCGCTGCCATGGCTCTTCCTTTTTGCCTTTCCCTTCCCGAGGCGACGCGGGACTGGGGCCGCGCCGGCGGTAGCGACTCCTGACTCAGGGGGCCTCCGAGGGAGGGGAAGAGAGTGACTCCTGCCTCCCGCTGTCATCATCATCTTCTTCTTTTGGGTTAGTGAATCAATTAAACCTTTCATGATAGTGAGATCGTTTCCCAAATTAATTATTTTTATTTTTGAAATTTACCAGTAGCTGCTGCATTTCCCACCCTCGGCTTATACTCGGGTCAATAAGTTTTCCCAGGTTTTTTTGTGTAAAATTAGGTGCCTCGGCTTATATTCGGGTCGACTTATACTCGAGTATATACGGTATATCTCTGGTTTAGTTAGTAAGAAATAGCAGTCAAATATGGAATGGTATTATTTGATTACTGAAAATAAATACAGATAGACTTCAACTCACATTCATTCATTTAATGACCATTTGAACGGCACTGAAAAAAGTGCTTTCTGACTGCTTTTCACACTTAGATTGTTGTAGCACCCCCTTGGTAATATAATATAGCTTGGTAACCTACATGTGTTCATTACAGTTTCACAGCCCTAGAGTCACGTGATCACTATTTCTAACATTCTGACAAGCTTCTGACAAGCCAGGTCAATGGGGAAGCCAGATTTGCTTAATGTCTGCATGATTCACTTAACTGCTGCAGTGATTTGCTTAAAAGAAAGGTCATAAAATGGGACACAAGTCATGTAACAACTGCCTTGCTTAGCAATGGAAATTTTGACTTCATTGTGGTTATAAGTTGAGAAGTACCGTTTCTTCTTTCTTTGAATTCTGTTTTTATTCTTACATTTTCCCCATCATATTAATTTTTTTGAAAAAAAAAAACCAATGTGTTAGACTGTATGTGAAATCCTCAGTTTACAAAATAATATTTTGTACTAAATTCTACAGGTTTGTGGGTGACACTGAAACTTCTTCCAGGAGACATACATCAGATACGGAAAGAATTTCCTCACCTAGTTGATAGAACCACAGCCGTGGCCCGGAAAATGGGCTTTCCAGAGATTATTATGCCTGGTAAGACTAAATAATGATAAAATTAAAGATGTTGATACAACATAGGCATAGGCTGAGTCATGAAGTTGTATTTGGAGGAATTAAAAGTTGCTTGTTGTCAAAAATATGAAGTCTGAACTTATTTCAACTTTATTTGAATTGCTTAGCATAAAAAAGACCTAGTTAAGTCTGTCTATCTTTTCTTTGAGGTAAAAGGCATACTTGTTTATGAATGTGCTGCATCAATAGGAATCATTTTCATTTATCATGCATAGCAGACCTTCACTTATTCACAGTGCAAACAATTCTTTAGAAGAATCGTGGTGGCGCAGTGGTTAGAATGCATTATTGCAGATTGATTCTGCCAACTGCCAGCAGTTCAATCCTGACTGGATCAAGGGTGACTTAGCCTTCCATCCTTCTAAGGCTGGTAAAGTAAGGATCCAGATTGTTGGGGACAATATGGTGACTGTAAACCGTTTAGACAGGGCTGTAAAGCACTATGAAGCAGTACATAAGTCTTAAGTGCTATTGCTATTGTTGTTATATGTGAACTGTAAATTATGAGTTATTCTTAAAGCGTTATTTTGGGTTAGATGATAGTCTTGAAAATTATTGTACATTCAACACTCTAAAACGGGTGCCAAACTCAAGGTTTGGGAGGCCCTCCCAAGGTCCATTTTCGCTGGCAGAGGGTTGCAGGAGGTCTTGCAGTCAAAAACAAAGCTCAGGAGCCTGTTTTCGCTGGCAGAGTGCTTGGGCTGCCATAGGTGACCCCAAACACTAGTGACATTGAGCTGGTCATGCCCACCCTGGCCACATCCACCTCGCCTCCTGAGATCAAACATAACCTTGATGCGGTCCTTAATGAAATCGAGTTTGACACCCCTGCTCTAAAACACAGGCTCAGAAAAAGGTAAAGAACTGCTACTATTCTAACATGCATTCTCTGTAAATGTAGTATTGAAATTATTATAGCGTAGAGGAAAGTGTAGGAAAAAACAGATAATAAAACAAATCTTAAGCCACCATAATTCTTAAAATTTGCTTTCTGATTTTGTAGGATACTGGGTTATTATATGGTATTAAATCAGTGAATTGTTCTTCTTCTTCTTTGTTTCTAGGTGATGTCCGTAATGATATTTATGTAACATTAGTTCAAGGAGATTTTGACAAAGGGAACAAAACTACAGCAAAGAATGTGGAAGTTACAGTATCTGTTTATGATGAAGATGGGAAAAAATTAGAGGTATCTTTCTGGAAAGTTGATGTCTGATTTTGAGTTGGTTCAAAATGATGTGATTGATTATTCACAAATTTATTAAATCATGGTTAAATATTTTTAAAACATGAAACCACCACCCCTTTCTGTCTTGCACATTTACTGGATGATTTAATGCCACATTTTCCCCATGCTGCCATTTATTTCAAGAATAATAATTTTAGAATTTGAATCCTGAAACTGTGAAATTACATTTACATTATTTGGTTTCTTACTAGATGTAATTATAATTGTGTTTATTAGCAGTGGTATTCTCCATTCTTTGTCATCTTTAAAGTTAACTGTAGAGGACTACAAAGGTGCTTCACAAATCTATTTGATTTTCTCCAAGTGCTCCGGTATTAGAAAACAATCTTCCTTCATTCTTTTCCTTATTAACTAATTACATATTAAGTTAAAGATGATTACTCTTCTTGAGTTCTTGGTGTATTTTTCTGTATATTCCCACAATCAAATAATTGTCACTGTATTTATGGCATTTGGCTGGGTCAAAAAAATCTGAGTATCAGCTCCACTGAAAGCATTTGAATGTGTAAGAAAGCGTTACATGTAGTCCCGACCTACAGCCACAACTGACATCAGAATTTCCATTGCTAAGTAAAGAGGTTGTTAAGCGAGTCATGCCTTTTCTTGACGTGGAGGTTAAGCAAATCACTGCAATTGTTAAGTGAATTGTTAAGTGAGTCTGGCTTCCCTCATTGACTTTGCTCATCAGAAGCCAACTGGGAAAGTTGAAAGGCTGATCACAAGACCTCTGGACATTGCAACTGTGGTATAAATACACGCCAGCTGCCAAGTGCAAGGACCAATCATAGGTCACTTTTTTCAGTGCTGTTGTAACTGAACAGTTGCTAAAGAAATGGTTGTACATCAAGGACTACCTGTATTCATATTAATAAAGCAGAATATTTGATTGGGGTAATGCTCAATCTATGCTGATCTGGGTGGTGATTGCTGGTGGAGAGGTGCTGGAGACTTTTTGTTCTCTTTTGGGCTGGTTGATATCTCTTTTGCATAGTCTAATGATGATTATGTCTATATGGCTGATCTGTCAGAGTCAAATTTGTCTAGAAACTTGGCAGTTGGACAGATCAGTCATCAATAGACACGTAGACATTCACAACATCTAAAGACTATGCAAAAGAGATATCAACCAGCCCAAAAGAGAACAAAAAGTCTCCAGCACCTCTCCACCAGCAATCACCACCCAGATCAGCATAGATTGAGCATTACCCCAATCAAATATTCTGCTTTATTAATATGAATACAGGTAGTCCTTGATGTACAACCATTTCTTTAGCAACTGTTCAGTTACAACAGCACTGAAAAAAGTGACCTATGATTGGTCCTTGCACTTGGCAGCTGGCGTGTATTTATACCACAGTTGCAATGTCCAGAGGTCTTGTGATCAGCCTTTCAACTTTCCCAGTTGGCTTCTGATGAGCAAAGTCAATGAGGGAAGCCAGACTCACTTAACAATTCACTTAACAATTGCAGTGATTTGCTTAACCTCCACGTCAAGAAAAGGCATGACTCGCTTAACAACCTCTTTACTTAGCAATGGAAATTCTGATGTCAGTTGTGGCTGTAGGTCGGGACTACATGTAACGCTTTCTTACACATTCAAATGCTTTCAGTGGAGCTGATACTCAGATTTTTTTGACCCAGCCAAATGCCATAAATACAGTGACAATTATTTGATTGTGGGAATATACAGAAAAATACACCAAGAACTCAAGAAGAGTAATCATCTTTAACTTAATATGTAATTAGTTAATAAGGAAAAGAATGAAGGAAGATTGTTTTCTAATACCGGAGCACTTGGAGAAAATCAAATAGATTTGTGAAGCACCTTTGTAGTCCTCTACAGTTAACTTTAAAGATGACAAAGAATGGAGAATACCACTGCTAATAAACACAATTATAATTACATCTAGTAAGAAACCAAATAATGTAAATGTAATTTCACAGTTTCAGGATTCAAATTCTAAAATTATTATTCTTGAAATAAATGGCAGCATGGGGAAAATGTGGCATTAAATCATCCAGTAAATGTGCAAGACAGAAAGGGGTGGTGGTTTCATGTTTTAAAAATATTTAACCATGATTTAATAAATATGTGAATAATCAATCACATCATTTTGAACCAACTCAAAATCAGACATCAACTTTCCAGAAAGATACCTCTAATTTTTTCCCATCTTCATCATAAACAGATACTGTAACTTCCACATTCTTTGCTGTAGTTTTGTTCCCTTTGTCAAAATCTCCTTGAACTAATGTTACATAAATATCATTACGGACATCACCTAGAAACAAAGAAGAAGAAGAACAATTCACTGATTTAATACCATATAATAACCCAGTATCCTACAAAATCAGAAAGCAAATTTTAAGAATTATGGTGGCTTAAGATTTGTTTTATTATCTGTTTTTTCCTACACTTTCCTCTACGCTATAATAATTTCAATACTACATTTACAGAGAATGCATGTTAGAATAGTAGCAGTTCTTTACCTTTTTCTGAGCCTGTGTTTTAGAGCAGGGGTGTCAAACTCGATTTCATTAAGGACCGCATCAAGGTTATGTTTGATCTCAGGAGGCGAGGTGGATGTGGCCAGGGTGGGCATGACCAGCTCAATGTCACTAGTGTTTGGGGTCACCTATGGCAGCCCAAGCACTCTGCCAGCGAAAACAGGCTCCTGAGCTTTGTTTTTGACTGCAAGACCTCCTGCAACCCTCTGCCAGCGAAAATGGACCTTGGGAGGGCCTCCCAAACCTTGAGTTTGGCACCGTTTTAGAGTGTTGAATGTACAATAATTTTCAAGACTATCATCTAACCCAAAATAACGCTTTAAGAATAACTCATAATTTACAGTTCACATATAACAACAATAGCAATAGCACTTAAGACTTATGTACTGCTTCATAGTGCTTTACAGCCCTGTCTAAACGGTTTACAGTCACCATATTGTCCCCAACAATCTGGATCCTTACTTTACCAGCCTTAGAAGGATGGAAGGCTAAGTCACCCTTGAGCCAGTCAGGATTGAACTGCTGGCAGTTGGCAGAATCAATCTGCAATAATGCATTCTAACCACTGTGCCACCACGATTCTTCTAAAGAATTGTCTGCACTGTGAATAAGTGAAGGTCTGCTATGCATGATAAATGAAAATGATTCCTATTGATGCAGCACATTCATAAACAAGTATGCCTTTTACCTCAAAGAAAAGATAGACAGACTTAACTAGGTCTTTTTATGCTAAGCAATCCAAATAAAGTTGAAATAAGTTCAGACTTCATATTTTTGACAACAAGCAACTTTTAATTCCTCCAAATACAACTTCATGACTCAGCCTATGCCTATGTTGTATCAACATCTTTAATTTTATCATTATTTAGTCTTACCAGGCATAATAATCTCTGGAAAGCCCATTTTCCGGGCCACAGCTGTGGTTCTATCAACTAGGTGAGGAAATTCTTTCCGTATCTGATGTATGTCTCCTGGAAGAAGTTTCAGTGTCACCCACAAACCTGTAGAATTTAGTACAAAATATTATTTTGTAAACTGAGGATTTCACATACAGTCTAACACATTGG